GCGCTACCGCCGCCGCCGCAGGCAGCACCCCTGCGGCGGCGGCAGCGGCAGCAAGCCGTGGACCCAACCGCCGTGCCGCCGCCGCCGCAGGCAGCAGCCCTGCGACGGCAGCGGCAGCAAGCCGTGGACCGAAACGCCGTGCCGCCGAGTCCCGTGGCTGTGGCCGTGGGCTTCTGGCAGGAAGGTACGGCCGCAGCTCGGCGGCACGGGGGCGTCGCAGCGTGCCGCCGCCGCCGCCGCGCTGCCCCCCAGGCACGGCGGCGGCAGCAGCAAGCTTGGGCCCAAACGCCGTGCCGCCGAGTCCCGTGGCTGCGGCCGTAGACTGTGGGCCGGAAACTGCAGCCGCAGCTCGGCGGCACGCGGTTCTGTTCAAGTCGCCAAGCGTGCAGCAGCGCCGAACCACGCTTCCCGGCCTCGGCGCATGCCTTCAGGGGCCCCCTATCGCTGGGCACACCCCTCCAACACTGAACATGCGCCCGGGGGGAGGGCGGCCCGGGCTGCCCAGGCCAAAGTGGGCCGCCCTCGAGCAAGAGGCGGCCGGTCTGTGTGCTGAATGAATCTAGTGGGGGGTACTGCACTTGGCGCGTCGGGCAGATCAAATAATGGTCTAAAGCTAGACGTTAAAACCGGGAAGTTAAGCTTGTGGAGGCTCTTCCCCACCTTTACCTTTACCTTTTACCAGCAGTACATGTAGGGTTCTTCAGTCGTGCAGTACATTCGCCCCGGCCCCCCTCAGCAGCTTGCGCGACGAAAAGAAAGCCGCACGGCGCCCTAGGGCAGGCGCACAACAAAATGACACTCGCCGCAGACTCACCGTGTGAATCGGCAGCCAGGAGTGCGATGATGAGAATTGCCTTCGCTATGGAGCTTATCCTGCCCGTCATATTGGGTATGATTCACCTGGACACGATGTAAGCAAGCCCGGGGATGTGGGGCAGAGGTTTGCAGTGCGGTTCGACGCCCTAACCGAGCGGTAGCAACCCTGCCCTCTGCACTTGCATCTCACCTCGCCAAGTAGTTGTAGTTGATTGGTTGTCCAGGCGAGTATTGGGACAACAGTGATCCTGCGGGCACGATTTCCTGTCCAGGCACCGTGGTCTACCGTGCATGCCTGAGTAGTACGCATCCATTCATTCATTCAGCACACAGACCGGCCGCCTCTTGCTCGAGGGCGGCCCACTTTGGCCTGGGCAGCCCGGGCCGCCCTCCCCCCCGGGCGCATGTTCGGTGTTGGAGGGGTGTGCCCAGCGATAGGGGGCCCCTGAAGGCATGCGCCGAGGCCGGGAAGCGTGGTTCGGCGCTGCTGCACGCTTGGCGATTTGAACAGAACCACGTGCCGCCGAGCTGCGGCCGCAGTTTCCGGCCCACGGTCTACGGTCGCAGCCACGGGACTCGGCGGCACGGCGTTTGGGCCCAAGCTTGCTGCCGCCGCCGCCGTGCCCGGGGGGCAGCGCGGCGGCGGCGGGGGCACGCTGCGACGCCCCCGTGCTGCCGAGTTGCGGCCGTAGTTTCCTGCCAGAAGCCCACGGCCA